TGCTCTCTAGAAACTAGGAAATGGTGAGAAAAGGATTGCTGTTGACTTTCTTGCTATTCCAGTAGAATCTGTCATTGGTATAAAACCTACTCAGAAACACTTGGGTGGCTCAGTCAGTGAACTGTTTGCCTTTGCCTTGGGTCATGGTGCCAGAGCCCCAAGATGGAGCCCTGTGCTGGGCTCCCTGCTCAGGGGGGAGTCTGTTTATCCCTCTCCCTCTGCAACCCTCCCCTTACTGCCCACACCCCAGCTCGTGCTATTTCTTGCTCTCTTTCTCTCTGGTTTGAAATTAAATGAAAATCAGTAAAATAAAACAAAAAACCAACCATTTCAATTCCAAGTCCTCCAATAATTCATGCCTTGGAGTTCTAGCTCTCATTAAAAAATAGATCTCTTGGGTCATGGGCTATTGCCTCTTTAGAAATGCAGACTCCCATCCCACCCCAGTATTTCTGAACAGAATCTACATTTTTACAAGATCTCCAATGCACTGATTTAAAATTCTAATTCACAATAGAATTTGATAAGTACATTTGTAACCCACTAAAACATCCCACCTAAGAAGTAGCTACAACTTATACCGTATGATAGTAACACAGTACTCAAAACTGTGTATTCCTTTGTTGAGGACTTCATTTGACAAATTATTTTGGATAAACACACAGTATTTATACTGGTTTTGTGGATTCTATGCCATCCTTTTACCTCAAAGTCACAGAATACATTAGAGCATATTACTGGGTTAATAATGATCTTCCTGTACAAAGGAGGATGTTCTCTGAAGGCAGAACCAGTTGTCCTAATAAAACTGGCGTAACATGAGTTCGCTGCTTGGTGAGTCACAGATAGAAACTACAACAGATGGTGTTGTCACAGAATGCAAACTTGATTTGCCTCAAAAACAAACAAACAAAAAAATCACAGGGAATAACTTGCAACATAGAGACTCCTAGAACAAGGGAGAAGGATTTCCTATTATTTGGGGTTAGGGTGAATTATTCAGAAAGTGGAGCCTTATCTTCTGTAGAGCTGGGCATTAGGTGGCACAAGAGCCTCAAGAAAACCTTCTCTACATACTTTGTATTTATGTAAATGGGCTTTGTGCACCTTGTTCGGTGGAGATTTTCATATTATCATGAGATGAAGGGAACTGTAGATCACTCCAACGTTTACTGCTTGGTCCATCTGCTTAGGTGTCATGGAGGTGAAGTTCAAATTGGGCCAGCCCAAGCTCTTCCTCAGGGCAGTAAGTGCCCTTAGTTGGATAGTTTCTGTTTTCCTGGGAGCAGACTCTGTCCATGGGTGTTTTGAATAAAATGAAGATAAGGTGGAAACAAGAGGGTAAGTAAAATGTGGCAGAAAGTTCAGAGGGTACAAGCAGGACCAAGAAAGTTTGGATCTTGGATTTAGAGGTGAACATTAACTCCCTCTCTCATCTTAGGGACCATCGTGAACTGTGTCAATGGCCACTTGGTGACTGTGGTATTTTTTGCAGGGACAACTGACATTCATGGATGTGGCCATAGAATTCTCTGAGGAGGAGTGGGGATGCCTGACCCACACTCAGCGGGAACTGTACAGGGTTGTGATGTTGGAGAACTACAGACACTTCTGCTTCCTGGGTGAGGAACACTCCTTCCGGATTTCCCAAACCCCACTCTGGGTTTTGCTCCTTCCTGTGAAGACTGTTTGTTGGGAGATTCCTGTTTGAATGACTGGATTTCAGATCCAGGCAGACAGGGGAATAAGTAGGGGTTTGTAGATGGAGAGAAACATCTTCATGATGTTTCCTTCTCAGCTTTAGCTTCCCTTTCCTCAAGGTAACAGCATCACTTCTGTAGATTCCTGGCAGTTCTAAACATTGAGTGGCTTAAAAGTGGTATTGCCCACATCTTCTACACCAATTTTCACTCATTATTGTATCTACTACTTGGAAGTGGAGGTCAGGATGTGAACATTGGCAATCCCTTCTTCCTGTTGTAAAGGGGATTTTGAGCAATAGCATTTGGGAAACCATTTTCTAGATTCTACAATGTTCTCTCTTCTCTACTGAGCACAACTGTGATTGGAAGCTAGAATCTCCAGCAGTACTTGTTTTCCTTTTTTCTAATGAACAGGACTCATTGGGTCCAAGCCAGACTTGGTGTCCTTTTTGGAACAGAATAAGTTCTGGGATGTGACAAGAAAGGAGACAGTAGCCTTCCATCCAGGTAGGTGGGAAAGAATGAAGCAGATGATAGAGGTGAGATCCAAATGTGAAGGAGGATGGTTGTCCTTAAACTCTGAGGCTTCCGTGTATTTTCTTGAATGGAAATTAGTTCAAGAAGCCCAGTGTTGTTGGTCTCCCTCTCACTGAGGGACATCTGCTACCCAAGATGATAAAACTCTTACATTCTTGAAGAATTCTCCTTCAGCTCCAGTGATCCATCATATCCACAGGGAGGGCCTGGAGACTCCTTGGAGGGGGAGGGACTCCCTAATCTGAGAGTTTCTTCATTGTTGTGAGGGCCCTGGGGAAATCACCCTACTTCTGAGGACTTTCGTGTTAAGCCCTTCGTAAGTTCTGTTTTGCCTCCTGTGAGATGTGTGTCAGGGTAGTGCTGAGCATGTTGGAGTACGTGTGGAAATTCTGGAAACACAGGAGACAGACATCTCATGCTTTCAGGTTTATGTTTTTGAGTGTTATGGAGGGTTTAATATGAACTATACAAAACTGAGACTCTGTAACTTCATCAGATCACAAAGTACCTCCCTAAAATGAGAAAATTCACATGCTGTATTTCCCTTCAGAGGTTCACAGTCTGTGTGTTCCATTCCTAAATGGTGAAATAATGTAATGTATCTATTTGTTTCCTAGAATTCCTACCTAAATAATGCCATAGGGGAGCAAGGACATTTAGAACTCAATTTATAGCCTCTAATGTAGTGTCAGTTGTTACCTTATTTATTAAAAATTGCATCATTTAATAATTTCATCTTATATCAAGTTCTTGTGTGTCTTTCCATTCTAATTAGTTGTATCTGAAATTCAGTTTTGATTTTTTAGATCCAAAGTTCTGATGGGACATGAACATGTACTTTATAAGAAGTGAGGAAGATAATTAGTACAATCCCCATATTTAAGAAAAACTTTTGCTTATAAATGTAATTTTCCTTCAGGGAAAAATTGGTCATTAGAATTTTCTTCTAATTTCCTCAGAATGTACCTGAATTCATCCAAATACTTTCTTTTTTAAGATTTTTTTTTATTATTTATTTGACAGAGAGAGAGAAATCACAAGCAGGCAGAGAGACAGGCAGAGAGAGAGGGGAGGAAGCAGGCTCCCCGCAGAGCAGAGAGCCCGACGCAGGGCTGGATCCCAGCACCCTGGGATCATGACCTGAGCTGAAGGCAAGGGCTTTAACCAGCTGAGCCACCCAGGCATCCCCCAAATACTTTTTTTTAATTAAAGTCATTGTCAGTATATTTTACAAAGTTGGTGTTTATTTAGAAATGAAAGGATTTTGGTTGCTTAGTTCTACAGAATGAATTATAGCTTTATATTCTACATAAAAAGAGGCGTATGTTAACATGATACATTTTTTAATGTCTTTTAAGTGCTTACTAGTAAAATCTTTCATTAGACTTTCTTATGGTTGATAATAATGAATATTCATTACAATTTTACTATCAGTGAAGGCATGCCAACAATTCTAATGTTTGTTTCTCATGGGGTCACTGAATGTGTTTGAAAATACAGTTACATAGTGATTTTCCTTTTAGATAATTCATCTATTTTTTTATTGAGAATTTTTTATCTTCAATTTGGTCTTATTCTGCTTTTGTAATTCCATAATAA